CCGTATTAATGGCTGTACACAAATTTCGAGTTTATTTCGGCAAATCGCCAGTAACAGTCTTTTCGGATCATGCGGCTGTTGGTAGACTTTACTCGGGAAAAAACCTAACGCCCAGGTTAATAAGATGGGCTTTAAAACTCCAAGAATATAATATCACAATAAAAATATAAACCGGGTAAGGAAAACAATGTAGCTGACGCACTTTCTCGTATAAAAACTGGACGATGAAGGTAATGAACTTAAATGCGCTGTGTTGACTTCAAAAATTTTAGATTCTAGAGATACGGTTATTACTGAACTGAAAGCTGATCCTGAATTTGGAAATATCTATGCTTATTTGAAAGACCCCGAAAGCTTTGAGCACACAGATATCGATGCGATAAGAAATAGAGCAAAAAACTATGAAATAATAGATAATTTATTATTCTATACGAAAACAACAAACGAAAATCTTGAGTATAAGCCAGTCATCCCAGCCTCGCTTCGATTAAGCATTTTGAAGGAGTTGCACGAAAAAAAAAAACAGCGGGCCACCTCGGGGTCAGGAAAGACTATAAAAAGGGTACGCGAGGCGGTATATTTCCCGCAATTATACAAAATAGTAACGGCGTATGTCAGGTCCTGCAATCAATGTCAGTTAATAAATGATATTAATTACAGCCCGGCCGGGTACTTAAATAGCATTCGCGCTACATTTCCGAATGAAATTTTAGGCATAGATCTCCTTGGTCCCTTCCCCCAGAGCGAGTTAAATAAAAATCGTTTTCTTTTAGTAATAGTAGATCATTTTTCAAAATGGATAGAAATTGTTCCACTTAAACGCGCGTCAGCCAAAACAGTCGCAGATGCATTCTTACACAGATACATTTTAAAATACGGTGCACCGATAAAAGTCATTAGCGATAACGGAAAACAATTCATTAGTCAAATATTTGAAAACATATGCAATGGACTTGGATATACGCCATATCAAAATGGTTCCGTATAGACCACAGGCTAACATAGCAGAAAGAGTTAATAAAAACATTGTAAAATAATTCGCAGTTACGTTAGCACACATCACAAGCGCTGGGATGGCTACATAAATGAATTAGCTTATGCTTTAAGAACGGCACATCATGATACTACGGGAAAAACTCCAGCAGAATTATTTTTAGGCAGAAAGTTAATTACGCCTTTAGATAAATTATTCTTTGTGCAACAAAGAGAGCAGGAATTTAGACAACAAGGACGTGGCAAAAGTTGATTGATCAGGCGCTTAAAACTTCGGATACGGCAAGAAATAGACAAAAGTTATATTATGATAGAAAACGCCGTGAAGCAGATTTTAAAGTTGGGGATAAAGTATTGAAACGGAAATTTTCTTTATCAAGTGCCCCAGACAATTTTATGGCAAAGCTAGCTCCAAAGTTTGAAGGCCCCTATGTAATTCAGGAAATCAAAGGAGTAGTCTTATATCTTAAAAACGAGAGAGAGGGGAAATCTGTAAAGCAAGTCCCGACCAGGTGAAAAAATACTATAATCCAAATGATTTTGAAATCCTTAAAAGTTTCTTGCAAGACTCAAGTCTAAACGAAATAGAAGGGCCAGAGACTGCAACAACTATTCCACCACCCAAGAAACGGAGAACTGAAGAGAGACCTAGCACTTCTACAACCCGGACGTCGGTATCAAAAAGAAAAAATGATTTTCAAAACTCCGGCGTTTAAGAAAAACAAAAATACAGATGAACCGGGTAAGAAACCGTGGTAAAGACGAAAACACCACCTACAAAAGATGGCAGGAGAAATTACACATCAAGGAGAACGCGCACACGGCCACAGAGTCAGGTGCCAGCAAGGCCGCCGTTCCGGAAACTGAAACGCCAACAGGAGGCACAGAAGTACGAGGAACAGAAGAAATTCAAGGACTCCAGACCGGAGGACGTCAAGACCAGCCGTCCCAGGCAGAAACGCAAAGGCCAACAACCAGACGATTACTCCGTCAAGAGGCCAGCATGTAGAGGACGCAAAAGAAAGAGCAACGGGGACGACACTCGGAGATCAATAAGGAGAAGATTGACATCCATGACACCTCTAACTTGGGATCAATTTTGCCAAAAACGGATGACGGAATTTCAAGCATCGAAAACTCAAAGATAAGTTAAAACTTCTATAAATTTTTTTCTCTTTTGTTCCGAAATGTTATGCATAAGTACGAAGTTCTATGTTTTGACGAAAGTCAATATGTCTCGGTTGAGACTTAGTTTTGTTTTACTTTATTTAGCTAAGGCAAAAGTATTATTTTCTTTAAGTGTAAAAGCTAAAAACAAGCATTTTCTGTTGGTCGAAAGACTAATTCTGTTATGTTAAAGCCAAAATTTGGCCGGAGATAAAAATAACTTCGTATTCTTGTACTAATAAGAATTTTAGTTTCAGTGCCGCCAGCTTGGCGAAGAAAAGAATGAGTAAAGTAAAAAATTTATTTCTCTTATTCATTTTATGGTAAATTGTAAAAAGCATATGTATTAAACTTTTGTAAATGTATGTAAATACTTGCATGTTATGTAAAAGTAGAATTTAGTCTAGAAGCATAAAATTGTAGATGCTAAAAGTGAATGCTTAAAAGCAATGAAGTCAAAATTTAAGTATTAAACTGTAAAGTCATGCTTTAGAGCGAAAGCCTGCATGTTTAAAGATGAATGAGGGGGAAGTTAGAATGAATGTGTTTTGTAGGGTTCTCCACCTACATTTGAATTTTTAAGAATATTAAAGTAGCTCATTGAGTTGTAGAATGTCGAGTAAGGTGTGTCTAGTTGGTTGTTGAATTCTAACAAATCATGGTGGTTAGGGGAAGTGTTGTAAGACTAAAACACGAATATTCCCGTTTGACACCACACATGGTGGAGAGCCAGGGTAAAGTTAAATTAATGCTTGAAAAATTGAATGAATGTGAAGTAAGCAATAACTAAGAAAAACGAATCGTTTAAAAACAAAAATTTATTGTGTCAAGAAAGTGTAAATTATAATGTATGTAGAAAGATACTGATACTTATTCCTTCCAGATGCTGGAAGGAAAGACCAAGATTGATTGATGAAGTCCAGGAAAAGTTGCTGTGTAAGAAGAAAGCTTTGTAACGAGTAACAGAATTTTAATATATAATTGTTACATAAGATTTTTTTTGTGTAAACGAGGCTTTCGCCAGTTAGTTCAGAATTAGATAAACTTACAACAGGTCGTTGGTAGGACCTGCTTCCAAGTTTTCCAAATTCTGGCAGCGGCAAATGTAGGGTTTATATTTATTTTAACTAACATTTATTTTAAGTTTAAACTATCTTTCCTGTCAATCCTTACTTTCCCCTGGAACTGCCAATGCCAGAATATGTAAATTTGAGTAGAACGCGCAAGCATTCAAATTATCAGCGGAAGTAGAATGATTTAAATAGAAGGAAACGAGTTCGGTGAGAGTTATTCTTACTTAGCGAGCGCGGAGGTAGCTATCGAGAATTGAAGAACCCCGCGTTGCGGCCTATGTGCTTGGCGGGAAGTAGTTGCAATTGTTCCAGTGAGCTTCAAGTCTGCTGAATTAGCAGCCGTATTGTAAAACGCGGTGAGTTAGTTATTTTAGAGAGCCTCGTAGTTAGAAATTGTCTTTACTTTCTTTTCAGGTTTTTATTTTTATTTGACTGCCTAGTGGGCACAGTCTGTAAGCGTCAAGAGGACGCCATTGTAATTTATTACGTTGAATAAAAAGGGACTTACACCCTTTATAAGACTCTGTGGTTTATACAAGCTTTCACAGTCACCTCTTGGTTGCGTGCAAGTTAGAGGCGCGCAACGTTATAGTACATTACACGTTTAATCAGGTCTTAAACTCGGACGGAGATTGGCTGAGCTGCTTCTGCTAAGTGGAATTGTAATTCCAGCGAGTGCCCCAAATAAAACAAGGTCCGATGCTTTTTTTTTCTATTTAACTATTTGAAATTAATTTAATAATTTATTAGCTTTCTTTTTATCTCTTTACATTTTTCATAATTTAAATTGATTATTTAACTAATTTATTATTTATTTGTTTAATTAAATTAAATCAATTAATTATTTAAGTGATTAAATTAACTAAAATTAATCTTAATTTAAATTTATTCTTCTAATTTTAGAAATTAAGCCCTGGGTACTATTAAAGTTTAACCAAATATATCGCTACAGGTTGTCTTCTACAAGGACAGCTTTCCTAAAGTTGTCTCAGCGCAATTCAGCAGTTTCCATGGTATTCAGTTGCTGTTATAAGCTATAAAATTAAGCAAAGACTATGCTGCAATTTGGAAAGTGTTTAGGGCTAGCTAGCGAGAGCTAATATTTGAAACCAGATGTTTACCTGGGACAGTTGAATACTGAATGTCTACTATACGTTCACTAATTCAGAATTATTTCGATACGCTATTAACTACATTCCAAGTCACAACAAGCTAATCTGCAACCTCGTATAGTGATTACGAGCTTTCAAGTCTCTTATACGTATGTTCAGGAATATCATTGCCTTGATATTTGTCGCCACCAGAAGCTTGAAATGTACTTTGGCCATAATTATGTTTTTTTTTTAACCTTTTGACCTGTGCCATTAATCATTTTTTGGTTCTACTCTCCAGGCATGCCAAAATGTAAACATATTATAATTAAAACAATATTAACGCAATTTATCCAACGTGCTCAATTCTAACTGCTGTCGAACGTTAAGACTCTAGCATACTTTCGTGTTCTAACTATATTCAAGGAAGTTAGTAACTTAAGTTTTACACTGTACTGTAAATAGGAACTGTTTAAAACATCTTTTGTAAAGTATTTTGGAAACTATTTGCCTTTTCTGGGATATATATTTATTTTGATTTTCTTTTTATTCTTATTCCACAAAGGAAGAAAATTAAATCAATACGCAGAAACGACATAATGCTAAAATACTTTTTATATTTAAATGTTACTTGCACATAATTGTATTTTCTTAATACTCTTTTGTATTCTAACAGGCTGTCGTCAGCTATGAACCAAATGAATGCAAAAAAAAGAGTGACTGTGGACCAAATGAATGCTGCCGTATTGGTATGTAAAACGTTAGAAGTATTTTTATGAAACATATATTTTAACTAAAGAAACAAAGCAATTATATAAAATGATGTTATAATTAATACAGTGCCTGTTACAAATTAAGGAATATTATACACTGAGTAGTGTATAACATTTAAAACGAAATAGGGTAGAAATTTGAAACCTGGTATAGTTGTAAGTCAATTAATGACAATAAGTTGTCTTTTTTACATATAACATCACCGGAAAAAAAAACAAAGTAATATTTCTGTGGAACCTTTTATTGAGATTGCACAAGTTACAATGTCATTTATATTTGGTTCAATTTAAGAAGAATGTCTTGTAGAGTTACATAAAGAAAACTAACTCGCATTCCCCTCATATGAGAAAAACGAATGCTTCATGGTTGAAAAGTTAATGAACACATTTGGAGGACGAAGCTCAGAAACTGATTTTATAAAGCGGCCTCCTAAGTGGAGAACAAGACTTTTGGATTCAGAACTTGCTCACAATCTTTATGTGATTTAATGAAAATATAATTGCTAAATGCTTTATGCACGCGCACGCTTATCGGAAATAGGCAAGAAAATTGAGGTTAGAGCTCTTAATAATATAACTTTAATATAGTTTTTTGCTAGGATCTTAAATGGTATGGTCATAAAGCGCAACTCGACGAACAATAAGTACTTAATTCGAAGACAGTGTTCTTTATAACCTTTTTCAGAAGAAGTGTTCTTTTTAATCTTTTTTTTGACATGCATATTCTCTTCCATATATCGTTCAGAACGTTAGACAGACATGCATTTTCACCCACAGTATATTGGTATATCTCAAACACATATTCAAACCAAAACAAAAATGCTAAACTATTGTTTTAATAACAAAGAACTTTGATACCGGCTGTGTGCTACGAAATGAAATTCAGAGATGAACAAAATTATTTAACTAAACATTAAAACCACCAGCTGGAGGAGAAGAGGAATTAGATGTAAAATGAAACAGATTCTACAGTCGCATTGTGTCAAGGAAAGCAAAATTTTATCAGCAGACTTTGTCTCATGGAAGGAAGATGCTTATAAAACTAATTAAATGAAAAATGTAAAATATTGTGCTATATTTACTTAGCCTGGCAAATCTGTTAAGAATAACGCGACTGAATGTTATTAAAATGTAAATTTCACATGTTGTTCTTCAAAACTACTTTTCAGTTATAGAGACATTAGAATTGTTTTTGAAGCAAGCGACATGAAAAATTAGCAGCCGCCTTCGTCGGGAATCGAACCACGGACTTCTGGAATACCGGCCCAGCGTGCAGAACCACTACACCTCGAAGGCACGCCAGGAAAGCGGGAGAATAACCTTATATACTTCCCCTTTTAAAGGGAGATTAGGGTTTTCGTGGACCTAGTCGCCAGACTCTGGGTGTGGAGAAACCTCATCCAACACCCTTTTAGTTCAGGCGCCACTGTAGAGACATTAATTTTTTTTTTTTTTTTTTTTTTTTTGAGCAAGCGAGATGAAAAATTAGCAACTGCCTTCGCCGGGAATCGACCACTACACCACAAACGCACGCTAGGAAAGCGGGAGAATAACCTTATACAGTAATAAATGTTCTTTTAAATATAAAATAATGTTAAGCAAGTTAATCATACCGATAAAGAATTCTATTGATAACAGAATTATTCGAACTGAAAACTTCTGTTCTATAATCTTATTCGTTATACTTACACCTTTGGGGATTTCAGCAGAAAAGGAACTTATGTAGCAGAATATACACTGTTCGACATTGAAAATGCAACACCAAGAAGGAGTAGTCAGAAATTTATGGAAATTTTAGAGTAGACGCACGTTACTGAGTTATGCGAATGATGTGAAATGCGCTCTCCGACGCACGTGAAGTAAGATATATGGGAAAGAACGTGCAGAATGGGCAATATTCATGTCGTTAATTCTGCCAGACGAAGTATCGAAGAAAGTTGGTTTTTGTCCCGGAGCAAACGTGTAATAGAAGAGAATACCAGGCCGCTGTCAACGAAGGCACTTCCAGCCCAGATAGACAATTTTACAAGGGGCATGGTGATCGGACTGAGAAGGGTGGGTTGGTCCTTACGTTAAATCGCAGCTGATACCCACTTGGATGCGAGCACGGTGCATCGGCTATGGCGAACATGGTTTGGAACAAGGAAATATGGGAAGAAGGGGGGTGCAGGTGCAGCCAGAGTGACGTCAACACGCGTGGATCGACGCATCCGCCGACAAGCTGTGGCGGTCCCGCAAGTCACTTGTACCGCGATTCTGCAGCATCTGCAAGATACCCTGGATGTTCCCGTGTCGACCAGAACCATTTCCCGTCGATTGGTTGAACGTGGCCTGCACTCACGGCGTCCGTTAAGAAGACTGCCATTGACCCCACAGCATAGACGCCAACGTTTAGAATGGTGCCGGACTGGAGAGATGTGGATGACAGAACGGCGAAACGTCGTGTTCTCAGATGAGTCACGCTTCTGTTTATCCAGTGACAGTCGCCGCATACGTGTGTGGCGTCGACGCGGAGACAGATCTAATCCGGCAGTAACTGGGGAACGCCCCACCGTGCGACAACGTGGCATAATGGTTTGGAGCGCTGTTGCCTACGATTCCAGGTCACCTCTAGTTCGTATTCAGGGCACTATGACGGCCCAACGATACTTGGATAATGTACTGCGGCCGGTGGCAATCCCCTACCTTCATGGGCTTCCAATGCAATTTTTCAGCAGGATAACGCCCGACCACACAGTGCTCGCAACTGACAACATGATCTGCAAGGTATAAAGATGCTTTCCTGGCCACCGTACTCTCCTGACCTGTCACCAATCGAACATGTGTGGCATGTGATTGGACGCCGTTTGCAGACTCTGCCCCTGCCTCGCTCAGAAGACGAACTGTGGCAAATGGTTGAAAGGGAATGGAAATCCATCCCTCAAGACACCATCCGCACTCTTATTGACTCTATGCCTAGACGTGTTTCTTCGTGCATCGCTCTCCGCGGTAGTCCTACGTCCTACTGAGCCGACGCCGTTCTCGCTCTGTATTCTGACTATCATTTTGAAATAAAGATCACTTATTGCTGCTTGCTGTCTCTGTCTTTTTTCCAAATTTCATCACTTTCTGGCCACTCCTTCTTGGTATTGCATTTTCAATGTCGAGCAGTGTATTTATTAAACTGGTTATCATAAATTAAGGAAAAATTACTAAAACAGCGATAACTTCCTCAAAAATAAGCCAAACCGTGTAAAATTTTAATATGTTGCCAAGTAAGAGTAGCTGAGTAAAACTGCGATATGCAAATTAGTGGCGCTGCTTTCGGTATACTTCATCTGCGAGGAGCATAAAAGTCCATGTTTGAGAGTAAGCCCACATATTTCACTGTGACAACCCGGACATCAGAAATCTGAGATAGCCAATTCGTAACAATGACTTCCAGGCATCATTTGCCTGCAGAACTGCGATTGGAGAGCCATTGGGAGACTAGAGGCAGGACAGAAGTCAAACAGAAGTCAGAAACCAGAAGTCAAACAGAAGGGACCATAGGGCTAAATGTGACTCCTTCTGTGGTTCATAGAATTTGGAGGCAATTTCAAACCACAGATTCGGCATCTAGGAGGTTCAGCCAAGGACGGCCAACTGCTACGACGAGCGCCGATGACCGATATTTGACATTATGTGCACGCAGGATTAGGACCGCTACTCCGACTCTTCTTAGATCCTCCCTTGCTGCAGCCACCGGAAGGTTCGTGTCAACGACAACTGTGCGTAGAAGGCTTCACGAAGGTGGTCTGTATGCGAGGCGACCAGCCATTTGTGTGCCGCTCACGTAACGCCATAGGAGGGACCGTTTTCAGTAAGCACGACATGTCCACTGGACGCTTGATCTATGGAGAGCGGTTCTCTTGACGGATGAATCCAGGTTTAGTCTAAAAAGCGATAGTAGGCGTGATTTGATATGGAGAGAACCTAGAACCCGTTATCATCCGTCAAACATCCGTGAAAGAGATGCATACGGAAAGGGCAGTGTCTGTGTTTGGAGTGGTATCTTTTTGGGTGGACGCACAGACCTCCTCCATGTCTTTCCAGTGGAATCGTGAATGCTCAGATTTATAGAGATGACATCCTTGTTGTTTATGTGCGCCCATATGCCTGGGCAATAGGTGATGCTTTCCTGTTGCAGGACGACAACGCAAGACCACACAGGGCTCGTATCGTAGATGATTATCTTCAACAGGAAACAATTATGCGCATGGAGTGGCCAGCTCGATCCCCGGACTTGAATCCTATCGAGTTAATTTGGGATGCTTTAGGAAGACGTCTAGCTGCTCTCAATCCGCTCCCTCAGACGCTTGTTGCGCTTACAACTGCTTTGCAAGAGCAATAGCTCTCGCTTCCTATGGAACTGATAGACCGCATAATTGAAAGTATCACACATCGCTGTATGTGCTGTATTTCTTCTAGAGGCGATCATATTCCATATTGAAGGTACTTTTCCTATAGAAAACTGACACCTTCGATTTGTTCATTTTATACATGTGCTAATTTCTATACTACCATATTTGTCTGGTAATTTTTTTTTTTTTTGTGTTATTTCATACCTTACTATGTGTTGTATATTGTGGATAAGTTTCATTAAATTCTACATGTAACTTTTTCAGTAATCGTGATTTTTGTGATTTTTCCTTAATTTATGATAACCAGTGTATTTAGAACTGTTTGTTTCGATTCTCTTGTTTATTCAGAGAGCTGCGCCTCTAAGCGCTTGTAAATGTATGCAGTTTAGGATTCTCTAAAACTGTGCAAAATGTGTGCGAAATCAATTAATCTAATATGCGTTTTGTGCCTCCCCCCCCCCTGCGGACGGGCGGGAAAAGCCGCTGAACACTACTAATTTGAAAATTTTATATGTTAAAAAAGAAAAAACGCCTCTTTGGACGTAATTTAAAATCTGAAACCTTTTAGATTTTATTTCCTTTTTAGTATTTATTTAAGACCTTTAGGCTTATTAATTATTTGTTATATATATATATATATATACTATTGCATTACTTTTCTAATAATTCTAGCTCTTCCTCCTTTTCCCCAGAATAAATATATTGATGTGGGTCGCAGTGCATTGCAGTTACATGCAGGTGTATCGTAATACTAAGAAATTTAGGTAGGAAAAGGCCATATTCCAGATAATAGCAGATATTATGTTCATATTACAACAGTTTGACACATTATCGAAAATATCTGCATGTTCGTCACCTTACTGAATGCAGCGTTATCGCCCTGTTTGACCAGTCTAAATGTGAGAAAGAGCAAGACTTTTGGCAGTACAGAATAAGAAAAATTACGCGTATAACTGGAAAAATCTCTCCTTAGTCAGATCTTTATTCAGAAGTTAAACTATACATTTTTTCGGGAATGAATCATTGGACCCACTGTCATCTCCGTCAAAGCAGATATACATGTAATTAAATGGAAGAGAAACATACGTATGTAAAATTTAAAATTCGCCGAAAATGTAATCTTATTTCGGCGCAGGTTTTTAATGTTTCTGACGTCGAAGAAAATACTTCCTCAATAAAAAAGATTGTTCAAAATTCGCTGATAAGAGAAAACTTTAAAATGCTTTAATTAAAAATATTTAATTACGCAAATAAATATTTTACTTATAGGATGCAGTGTTCTCTACTGCAAATTTAAAGTGATCCTCGTTGACGTTTCGTACATGCTCACGTTTCTGACATCAAGGCTGATGGAGTTGTTGTCAATAAATTAATACGCTGTACTTGCGAGCGGTTTCAAAGTCAATAATCGCTTAACTTGAGATCTGGTAAACTTGAAGCCATGCCAGTGAGAAAGATGGGTATCAATCTTATCACTGCAGAATGCTACGATAGTTGCTACACCGAGGAACCAATACAGGAAGCGGTTTAATCTTACCTGAAAATTGTTTTGCAAAGGCAACTTTCCTGAAATTTTGCGGTAATGGAAATCGTCATAAGATTCAACATTTATTGACGAAGTTCTGGTACAGAATTTCCTTCAAAGGAAAATGGATCGTTCAGTAATGTGGCAGGAAATATATTCAACTATTAACATAATATATTAAAAATATAAACTAAATATATTAAAAAAGCAATATAGGAATTTTGCGAAATAGATGAGGAATCTCTGTAGCCCAAACACAGAAATTTTAGACATTCATTGCTTCACAAATCTAAAAATTAGCTTTATTGATTCTTAGGATGTTGTTGTTGAAATCTAAGCTGTTGTGGAATGTCAGTGGGAACCCTTTCTGACTACTGCAACTTTGGCGTGCAACATTTGATTGTGGCTCAGTTAAAATGACTAATAATTCAGCATTTCCTGCAAAGTACTCCAAATAGTAGTAAAGAATTAATTTTCCGGAAATTACATGCAAACTGCATGAACTTTAAATGCTTTTTAAACAAATAATTCATATAGTTCACTAAATAATGATAATTTTTATGTAGAATGTAGCAATTATAGAGTGAAAAAGTGCACTTTAAAATTTTATTTACGCTCTAGATTTTAAAGATTTAATAATATATTATGTTGTGAAGTTGTAACATAATTTTTTTATATCTGTCTTATTTATATTTTTATACAGGAATGGAAAGATATTCAATTCCTCAATGTTCGCCCATGGGTAAGACAGGTGACTGGTGCCGCACTAATGCTGTTGCAGAAGACAGAAGACTATTTTACCCCAATGGCATTTCTCGAGATGTAGAGGACAGTTATTCATTATTCTGCCCATGTGCAAAAGGATATACGTGCAAGATAAATAAATGTCAACCTTCCAAAGGCTAATTGCATGACTACTGTAATGCAGGTTAAACAGAAACACTGTTAATTATAAATGCTCGTATTGTCCACAATATCATATTTAGTTATATTGTTAAAAGTTAGCATTTTTAGAGAAAAAAAGCACCGGGCTCAGAAGAAGTGCTTTGTTTTTGTGATGTAATGTGTAATAGAGCATGCTGTACTTTGAAATTAATTATGCATGCATGTAGCAAAGAAGGAACTTAGAGAAAAATGTAAATAAATCGAAAAAGACGAAAAGACGAAAGAAGCATTTATTTTTACTCAATATATCTTGTTGATGAGTTAATTTCCTTTAATAGCTCACATTCAATACTTTATATAATATTCCAAGACAATATACAGCGAAATACTATATATAAAATTTTAGAAAAAATTCCAGAAAGCATTTTTAGTTCTCACAAAATTTTTTCTCTAAAAGAAGCAGTTCTTATTTCAATAGATCAAATTAAAGAAAAAGTAGCTTACAACTTCAAATATTGAATAACTAATAACTAAAAGGCCTCACTTGTGAAATTGGCGTAAATTAGGATATCTGCTTTCTGAATTAAAATGAAATTCTCATTCACTATTTATTATGACTCAGGTAAAAAAAAACTAATTTATCATGGCGTAAAATATACTTTATTTCAAGGAACATAAAATTTCTGTTTGTGTTAGCTTACTGTGTAAATCATTTATCAACAAAAGAGATGTCATTGCTTTCAAAAGCGATCTTTCTTTGCATCTTTTATCAAAGCTTAAAGAAATCTTACATACTGTGCTCATTTTTCTTCTCTAAACGTAGATAATTACTTTGAATTAAAATCAAAAGGACTTAAGCTGAATTAATTCAACACTAACAAGCTTTGATAATAAAAAATTAGAATTGAATAATTTTTTGCAGTCTGCTTATTTTCTTGCAACTTCATTGGCTACCTTGTTCTTTGGGCAGAGTTACTTAGTTACAAACTTCTTCTATTTAGCTTCCAATCTCCGCGAGATTTAATGCATGGTTTAATAGTAAATGCCCCGTTTGCAAATCATTCTGATAGGAGAAATTTTCGAAAAGACTTAATACATATTTAAGAATCCATATGAACTCTAAAAATACTACAGACCAATCTTTAGACATTTACATGATGCCATTAACTTCCCATGTTTTCTACCTTACGTTCACTGAAAGATGGCCTTAAGCAGTATGTCAATTTACTGGCTTGACTTTACCGACAGAGCAAGCTGGCCTACTGGGGAATGGTGCTTATCAGCCTATTTAAGTCCTGCCGATGCTTATAAATTCATTCTTACGTCCAAATGTTTCTTAAGAACTACTGTCTTAGTAAAGAAGTACAACGGAAATGGTAAAGTAAGCCTTTCCGTTCCAACAGCTAAATGATTCTATAGTGAGCGTTCAGTTGTTAAGTTGAATGAGACAAGAAAGTTACAATGCATGTGCTAGTCTTTTCCTTAAATGAAGTTATTTTCCTCAGGGTTCTCGATAATTTCACAGCTGTTCGGTGATAACACTAACACGTGTATTATTATGATATATATATCATAATAATACTGTTATAGACACATTGATATATATGCCTTATGAAGATAGATATACATGGCAAGTAACTATTACACGTATATGAACACAATAATGCTCTACATTATGACACAATTCATCAAATAAAAACTGTTGCAAAGATTTGTGCACTTCTGCAACACCAATACATTGGTGTACCAGTACAAATACATTATATGTATCGATACGATATTCGTCATCAAAATAGTAGCCAGGGTGCATTACAGAAAAGAAACGTGTAAAGCGTACGCAACAGCTGGGAATAGACGGCGCAATCAGGCTTTAGTGGAAATAGAACTCGCTATTGTGACAAGAATATAATTGTTATTGCGCTATCTGCTAGCATAAGCCGCTATCGAGAATTAAACAGTTGACGCTAACAGATACTATTTGGCTATCATCAGCTTAGCAAAAAGCATTCGCTGGTTCCAATAACATCTTAAACGTTTACCGAAACGTAAGTTTTTTCAATTTTAACCAAACTGTACTTTATGATGCAGTATTTATATATTATAGTGCATAAGCAGCCCTGTTTTATATATTATAACAGCACACTAAATATCGTGATCAGAATAAAAGTATAATAATTCTGATTTACAAATGCATGTGGCATATAAAGGAAATCAATTGCAGAGTGCTGTACATTGATCACAAGGAAAATTATTTTATAAAATTCCGTATACGTGCAGTATAAAACGTATTCAAGGAAATAAATACTTGTAATAAAAATGTTTAGTGCATCTGAACTAAATCTCTACAAATACGTATATACTCAAAAACGGTGTTACTATAACCTACCTCACTTGTCTGTCATATCAGAGCAAAATCCTGTGACATTTTGTGGGTATCCATATTTCAACCATCTTTTGCCGAGGTTCAAACTCAAGTCCCCCGATTCAACAACTATCACTTCTATAATTATACAGACCATAGAAATAATCAGGAGCGTTTGTTATTTCTTTAAAGGCTTAGAAACTTGAAATTAACAGTATAAGTCGATAATCTGCCCCCCTTTTCCCCATCCTTCTGCATGATAATACTGAGTAACATTATGTTGTTCCTCTAAAATCATAGAAAGAATAAAAAGGGGATACAAAATCGCGATATGATGTGTTAATACAGCATTTAACCTTTTTTTTTTTTTTTTTTTTTTTTTTTTTTTTTATCTTTGCAGTTTTAGTCCAAGAAATTTAAAATAAAAACTTTCATTTCATCCAAAATAGCATGGGGTAAAAAAAAAAAAAAAAAAAAAAAAAAAAAAAAAAAAAAAACTCGTTTTTAGTGAATCTAACAGCAGAGGTAACTTGCTTAAATTTACTGTAGCATACTGAAATTGTTCATTTTTATGAAATAAATGAATCTGCTTACGTATTAGAAATATTTAATGTCAAAATACTTTTTTCCCTTGAATTTTTCGGACACTTTAACTGCGTATGAAAACTGCAAAATGAAATTCTGAGTACTTTTGTTCTTTATCACTAGAAACAAAAAATAAAATTAGGTTTTATTCTCAAATGTGATTTTTGTGTCCCCAGATATTTCATACAAACTATTTTATTATATAAAAATATCATAAAATTTAGTCAGTCACTGAACTAGAAGTCAGCATCTACTTTTAATGCAAAAAGACTTTTATGGAGATTGCGCTTAACACTAAACGTATTTCATTAATGCGGTCTAATGGCTTCAAAAGTTATGCACAAACCCCAAGATAAACCCATCATATATCAATTCGCTGAAGAAAGCAAAGGATTACATTAAATTCTATAAGTGAGAATAAGAATGTTTTCAATAATTCAGTGGCGTAGCTAGGGTGGGGCAAGGGGAGACATCTGTGCCCTGGCGCAGCATTCAGGGGGCGCCAAATTGATATTAAGAAATTTTAGAATGAAATGTTTTCCGTTCTTGGCACAGAGAAAGGGGCGCAAAATCTTCAGTTGTCCCCGGGCGCTGAAAACCCTAGCTACGCCTCTGCAATAACTAAAAACTGAGAATTACATTCATCGGAACATTAACAATAGGGTGAAACAATAAACTCACAATATTTTGATGTTTGGGATAGGAAAATATGATGCAGCTAATCGAAGTTCAACTAATTGCATAAAGCAGGACATATTAAGAATTTGATAGCTTATTATTTCCTTGATATTGTATTACACAGAACGTTTTATAACAAGGAAAGTAACAGAAAAAAATTTAATAGAAACCTACACTGTGATTATCTAATCGCTGCTAAAAGATTTACTAATGCACGATTATTCTGAATCTGCTTACTCAGTCAGAGTATAACTCAATCCATATATTAGCTCTGAAAATTTCTTTCATAACAAAGGGGCTCTAATATCATAAACTACTCGATATTAACTCGAGAAACTTTGTAAATGGAAATAGCGATACATGTTTAGGATTAATAATTAAGCAAATAAATTGTGCATAAAAGATATACTTTATGAAGCATGTGATGTACATAAAAAAGGCCTTCTTTGTTATTTAAGGGGGGGGGGCATTAAATGGTCGGTATGTCGTTTTAACTTGGGCATCAATAATGGGTAAGTATCAGCTTTGATTTCAAATTTAATCTGAAATTAGGGTTGAGCTCTCCGAAATTATTTCATGGGTAACCATGACTTCACAGAAACACAATTTCAGATTTATATTCTGTATGAATCAGTATATTTAGGACTGTTATTTTAGCATCATTAACATAACTCTATAATTAAGATTATTTTTGTAATGTAAGTACTTCGTTTATTTCATGCTCAGGTACTGGTAATGAGAAAAACTATTAATTAAAAAACTTCAATAAACATTTTACCAAACTTTTCTACATTTAGTTAACTGAGTCCGCCAGAAGAGGGCGACACGAATCGATGCTTTGAGGATTGAGCTTCAGATTTTTAAAAGTTCGAAGTGAATAGATTAAATTTTGTGTTTTTTTTAAATTTTTTATGCTTATTCAAATTATTTTATTTTATGAAAAAGGGCCAAAGATTCTTATTTTTACTAAGAGAGAAAAACAGGATATTTAATAAAGTCACTTTATTTTATGAAGATTAAAAATGCAAAGCTTTTCACCGAGTTAAAGAAATTAAAGAATTTTTATTTAGTAATAATTTTAGAATAAGGCTTATAATATAATAATTGAAATTTATCAATATTGTAAATATGTAGAACACATTTTGTTCTCTCATTGCTTAAATACTTTAAACGCTATTACTATAATAAGTCATGATCTAATCATTATTTGTTTGATTTCAAAATGAAATTAACTTTTATTTTGTGATTATTTCCTAAAACACAACTGATTTTAGGAAAAAGAAAGAGAAAATGCTATTAAGAAAGCGAAATGTGGAAAAAAAATAGTAAATGCAGGTAATTTTGCAAACATATTTTCAGTGCTTGCTACTTTCAAATACTTATTTGTTATTGATATTATTATTGATAAAATACTATCACGGAGTATGAATTAAAATACACGCGAGTAGCCAGGAGGTGTGCCTTGGGCACCACTTCACTTGGCCGTTTAAAAATCTTTCCGAATTGACATCAAATATATCATATGGAATTTTTAGCTATTTCACACCTAGATGAGATATATGGTATAGTATCAAAAGGAAAACGCAAAAGACTTGTTAATTTTTACAGTAGAAGCAGTTTTAGATCATTCTCTGCATAAGGGGGTACAAGATTCATTA